GTTTTAAAATTTTACGTCGTTACACGAGTCCCATGAACTCAAGGTCTAAAACTAAGTCTAATGCGTTGGGTCACTCCTTCTGTCCTGCTACAACCATTCTAACACCCAACTGAGTTCTTTTGACCCTCAACAGATATGGGACTCAAAGCCTTGGACTCGTCGAGTTCCAAGAACGGACTCGCTGAGTCGATAACGCCCACACCCTAAATCCTCGATTTTCTGATGTACAACACTTGTCCAAATGATTGATCCAAGCCCCTAAGCTTGATCTAGCACGTAAAGTTATGAACTTTACATGCATGCATGGGACTTTTGAGCCAAAAACGCTCTAAAATGGCTCTTTTGTTGCACGGGGCCTTCCTTGGGTGAAAAAGCAACATAAATCTATCTTGTGACTCTTCCCAAGTGCTAAATCCAAAGTATTGACCCCCAACCATGTTTGTAAATCATGGTTGGTCACCTCATATGGCTTAAAAGCCCTAATCTTCCCCCAAAAGGGATCTAACAAATAAACAAGCAAGGTACAAACTTTATACCTTTCAAAGACTGCAAATGATGAACCAAACTCGAATCCTTCAACCTCTTCTTGATCCTTCTATGCTCTTCCTTCTTCCTTGAGATCAAAACCCACAAAAATCACTCAAAAGCCTTAGATCTTGCACCAAAACACTTAAGGTGTCCTATGGAGGGTCTTTAGGAGCATTAGGGACGAGTGATGGCTGAAAGAGATGATTAAATAGGGTGTAAACCCTCGGATTAGGGTTTTGTCTAGTCAGAGCCTACTCGTCGAGTCTGGCCGCAGACTCAACGAGTCCATCACTTAAGTTATGTGTAACGATCGTTTCCGAGGTATAAAATTATTTAATTCTTCAGTTGTTTTTGGGCCATAATTGAATTAACATTGTGAGTGGACCTTATTTTGGGCCAAAGTGTAAGCAACCCCATAAGCTGTACGCGGGGGGTAACCCCCTTGTACACTGGGCGTACTGCTTAAATGAAACGCGGGGAGGCTGAGCGTACGCGCAGCGTACCTTATGGTACGCCCAACGTATGCGACCAGGTGGCAAACCTTAATTTTGAGGGTTGAGGCGTATTTAAACCCCATTATAGCCTCCCATTTGGCCTCCTCACTTATCATTCACTCCAGAGAAACCCTAGTTTGTCCCCTTTTGCTCCTTGCTTGTGTGTGTTGATCTTTGAACTTATTTTTGTGAAGAAGGAGAAGAAGAGAAGTGGAAGAAGAAGAACTTAAGCACCTTGAGCTCATAGATCTGGGATCATTCCTTCATTTGGCATTCAAAAGAGGTATAAAGCTTCCAACTTTCCTCTTGTAAGTTTAGATCTAGGAGTTTTTGGAAGTTTGGACCTTTTAGGTCCAAAGGAGGGACCTTTATCTTACAACTTCGTTTTTGGAGCTTGGGATTGCTATCCGTGAAGCTCAAGTGTCCCTATAGCAGTAAAGTTTCAATCTTTGAGGCTTATATGGAACCCTGCATGAGATCTAGTTGGTTTTATGGAAGTAGAATGTTATTTGTGGGAGTTTGAGCCTTTATGAGACTTGTAAGCCATCAAGTAAGCAACTTTATGGCTTAAGTCATTGAATAAGCTTAGGATATGGATTTGTAGCTTTTAGATTGGATTATTAAGCACTTAACGAGATGTTGGCTTAACAGGGTTGTACGCTGGGCGTACAAGGAAGTACGCGCCGCGTACAAGCCAATAGCCAGTATGCTTAGCGTACCTTGGTGTATGCCCCACGTACGCTACCAGTTTGGGCTTCGAGTGTTGGGCCTCGGTGTGGGTTGGGTATCAGGCTTAGGGTCCTTGGGCCTTTATGGCCCATCAGAATCCAGTTGCTAAGGACCAAAGATTTAGTATTGGGCTTGAGTAAGGCCCAATAAAGGGTTCTAGGCCCAATATAGCAAATTGGGGCATTAGTGGGGCCATAGATGGGCTTAGAAAGAATTGAGGTTTTGGGCCATGTTGTGTCCCACACCATAGTAGGGGTAAAATGGTCATTTTACCCATACTGGAATCCATATTCTGATTTAGTATTTATTTCCCATTATAGCTGGGAAGTAGCCGGAGCAGCCGTCAGGGATTTCGCATTCAAGAGTTCAGCAGTTAGCGTCACGAGGTAAGTTTCCTTCCAGTAGGAACGAGTCTAAGGCCACAATGCCGGCCCGTTTAACTAGCGTAGTTTCCGGACTTCAGTCTGATGCAGTAGTTAGGATGTTTGATGCCTTCGTGGCTCAGACAGGGTTTATGTATTATGTGTTCCGGGCTACGACCCGATGCAGTATGCAGTTTATGTGTTCATGCTAGTTGATATGTTTATGCTATGCTATGTTATTCTCAGTCTGATTCCGGATTTCGGTCCAATGCAGTTAGTTTCAGACTCGGTCCGATGCAGGGGACAAGGTCCCAGTCAGTTCCAGACTTCGGTCCGATGCAGTTTCTGGACTTCGGTCCAATGCAGAGGGCAAGGCCCTGGTTAGTTTCGGACTTTGGTCTGATGCAGTGGGCAAGGCCCAGTATGTGTTTATATGTTATTGTATGGTATGTGGTAGTTTGGGGGAGCTCGCTAAGCTTTGTGCTTACAGTTTTAGTTTTGGTTTCAGGTACTTCCGCAAGTAAAGGGAAGAGCTCGGGTTGATGGCATCACACACACCACAGCTTCAGTTTGTCCTGAGAGTTGTTTTAGCTTTTCATAGATGTGATTTGATACAGTCTTGATACATTTTCCTCGTAATACTTTGCTATTGTTTTGAGATATTGACGTACAAGTTTTACTTTATGATATTAACATGGTGTTTTTAGTAATTATTAAATAAAAATTTTTGGGTCGTATTTTGGGTTGTTACATCATGTGTCCAATCCCACTCCTACTCGACGAGTTGAGCCTTCAACTCGCCGAGTCTCAATCCAAAAATGCAAAATACCCAAAATAAATTACATACCAGGAATCGAGTGCTATATATATATATATATATATATATATATATATATATATATATATATATATATATATATATTGGAAAAATAAAGTGTAAAACACTTGAAGTAGTTTGTAACACTTTTAAAATGATTTAAATCTGTTGAAATAGCTTGAAGTGTTTTAAAACTGATTGAAATCTTTTGAATGTTAACACAAAATTTCTTTGTGTTTTATTTGTATCCCCCCCTCCCTAAAAACATTGAAAAATAGTGAAAACGTAAGGATATAAACTGACCTCGAATGTGTGTGCTAGGTTGGTTGCAAAGTGCTAACGATGATCCTCGAATTGGAATACGTGACAACAGTCGTATCTTAAAAAAATTATACCCGACGTCGTATTTAAATTAATACAATATTAATTTAAATAATTAAGTAATGGCTAAAAGTAATAAATTAGGTGCTAGACAACACTTAATTAAATAAGATAATTACTTACAAAAGTCTTAGGAATTATTTGGAATAATTCTAGATGTTTTTGGTGCACAATTGGAGTTTTCGGTGAGAGTTTGGGTGTTCTCGGTCAAGGCTTGAAGATTTGAAGATCTTGTTGAGTGTTCTTGGTGAAATTATGATGATCTGGGCAAGGTTTTATGAAGATATGAAGGTTCTCGGATGAGTTTTGAGAGCAAAATTGGCAAGGAATTTGGTGAGAAATGAATTGTGTGTTCGGTTGTACATAAATATATAGGAAGTAGAATTCGGTCTTAATATGCTAGGATATTAGTGTGTTCGGTCCTAATGGACATTTTTCTTTGTGTGTTCGGTCCTAAATGGGCTAGTGGGTGTGATTTCGGTCTCACAAAGGATGAATTCGGTCATCCTAAACCGAACACGCCATTTGGTTAATTGTTATGGCCGAAAACATCAATTACATTAGATTCCAAAAAACGAATTTACCTTATTTCTTGATTTCCATGACTGAAAACACCTATTTAAGGTGTTTATTTATGTTTTAAACCTTAACATTTTGCTAAAACTTGAATTATACTACCCTAAATTAACTTAGTTTCAATCCAAGCTTAGTTACTAGTTTATAAACAAGCCCTTAATGCATATAGAGGCTACAATGCAACAAGGAGTGCAATTTAGATTTACTTGTGCTAGGTTAGGGTTTAGACTTTGCTAGGTTTATAATTTCGAGTTGTGACAAGATGCTAGATGAAAAACCAAGTTTGGATCCACAAGCTCCAAGCTTCCAAACACCTCTCCAATGGACCGATTCTTCTTTAATATGCACCAAAACACACACATAATCGCTTTAAGAGCTCAACAAACAAGATGGCTAGGGTTTCGAATGTCTGGAAAAAGGGAGAGTGGAGGCTAGTTATGAAGAGGCGTTGAGGGTATTAAGGTGTTTAAATAGGGTCTAAACCCTAAAACTTAGGGTTTAAGACTTACATTTGTACGCCTTGTGCACTCGAAGGAATCCACGATTCACATTAATTGACCTACGCCCAACGTACTCATCAAGTACGCCCTGCCTAGGGACCAATTTTGGAAATAAAAATTATAATTTACGCCTTTATGAAAATATACCTAGAACACGAGTGTTACAATTCCCTCCCACTTAAATCAAACTTCGTCCTCGAAGTTTGCCACGACAAACAACTCATGGTAATGCTCCCTTATCTCATCTTTAGGCTCCCACGTCTACTTAGAATCATTTCAGTGCTACAATTGCACTTTTACCAAACCCACTTCCTTGTTTTTCAGAGTCTTTGTCTTCCTATCGAGGATCACAACCGGTCTCTCTATGTAGCTGAATCATCGACAAAACACTTCAGCAACTGAGAGACGTAAAAAAATACTTTGAATCTGACTGAGCTCATCGGGTAACTCTAAACGATAAACAACCCCGCCCACCCAAAAAGTAACCTTGAAAGGACCAATATAGGGCTAATTTTCTAAATAAATATAAAAAATATTTTTTAATGTAAAATTCGCATCAGGTAATAATATAATCTAGTTGCAAGGAACATGGAATAGCATTAAAAAAGTGGAATGAAAGGGCATAATTGACATGTTGTAGTCGACTATTGGATGCTGCCTAGGGCTTAAGCCGGTTCTGGTTCACTGTATTGGTCATTCCATAAAGTTAGGCCGCCTGCCCCTAGAAAAGCGGAATATATAATAGCCTCCCGACTTCCTTACTTTCCCTTGTGTTGGCATTTTGATTTACAGAGGAAATCGGAGGTCAATTCTCCCTCTCGATCGATTTCAACTCCTCCGATCTCTCTCTGCAACTTGCTCATGGCGTTTTCCGAAAGCTCTCGACAATCTCTCATCCCTAATTTCCTATATTCTTCGTCTTCAACCACCAGCCTGCTCATGGGCAAATCCATCAATCATTCAAACCCAAGCCTGTTTCCTTCTCCTTCACCTCCAAAGGACCAGCAAAACTTCATGATAGCTTCTCCCAGTGAGCCTTTTGGGAAGATCGAGATGTACTCGCCTCGATTCTACGCTGCTTGTACAGTTGGTGGGATCCTCAGCTGTGGTCTCACTCACATGACCGTTACTCCTCTTGATCTCGTCAAATGTAACATGCAGGTATATGTGTTTAATTCCGAATGTTTAATCGATTTTTGTAGCAACTCAACTCACGTATCTTCATTTTTATAATTTTTTCTGCTATATGATGCCTTTTGTCTTGAGATTCAACAGTTTACTTCTCGTTGTTATGGATCTGTTTCGTCATAATCAGTTCCCTTTCTTTAGGTAGTTTGACTTCATCCAAATCGGTGATCTGGTTTTGGCGCGTCTCTAGTTAGATCTATGTAATTTGCTTGTCTTGCGGCTGGTGAATAATTTGATTTCATTTCTATTTCCTCTTACGCGTTGGCTAAGATGCATCACGCTTAATGGCCTTACATTTGATATTCGATGTAAAATGGAGTAATTTTTTAGGTCCTACAAGTAATGCTTTAGGACGTTTAACCACGGACCAATCAATCAATCGCCCTAAGCTAAAGTTACTTAGGCTAATGTATACGAAAATGAAAGTGCTTCATTGTGATTTTGTAGCATATATAGCGTTAGTTTTTTTAAAACCAACTAGTATAATGCGATTTGTCATCTTAGTTTGGTGCTACATCAGGTCAACTCTATACTTTTATGCAACACATGCAAGTTTTGCAAACTCAAACAGTTGATTCCATGTACCCTTATGTGGAGAAGATGAACTAAGTTCCATTTCACAACTTGTGAGAGTATAGGCTTACAATGGATCATATATAAACTAAACCCAATGTGATTCATATATTACAATGTTTTAAGAGGGTTATGAACAACTATTATTTCATTTTGATTCATCAGATTGACCCTGTTAAGTACAAGAGCATCTCGTCTGGTTTCGGGGTATTGCTGAAGGAGCAGGGTGTGAGGGGATTCTTCAAGGGGTGGGTCCCAACTCTTCTTGGGTACAGTGCTCAGGGTGCCTGCAAGTTTGGATTCTATGAGTTCTTCAAGAAATATTACTCTGACATTGCAGGGCCAGAGTATGCTGCCAAGTACAAAACTTTGATCTACCTGGCAGGTTCCGCATCCGCTGAGGTCATTGCTGACGTGGCTCTTTGTCCCATGGAGGCAGTTAAAGTTCGTGTCCAAACACAGCCTGGTTTCGCCCGGGGTTTGGGTGATGGACTCCCGAAATTTGTCAGATCTGATGGCGTACTAGGGTACACCCATGTCATTATTTTATATTTCAAAGTTGTTGTTTTTTAAACACCTTTTATAATTTATCCCAAGTTTCATAAGGATTAATGTCTGCAAGTTCTCTCATCTAGTTTTGCCACATTCTCTTTAGGTTATACAAGGGATTGGTGCCACTTTGGGGACGCCAGATACCATGTAAGTTTAGGCATCTGTGATACATGCTTTCACCCTCTCTATGCAATGTACTTTGAAACTTGAGTAAATTGCTTTTTTGGTCCCTTGAGTATATCTTTTTTTTAGACCTAAATGCAATTTGGTCCTTATTTGAGATGTTTTTGGTCCTTGTTTCAATTAAAATACTAGTTTTGGATCATGAGTATAGGCTGTGTAGCCTGATCTTTTGTAATTTTGGCGCTAAAGTTAATAGGCATTTTAGTTTGAAGTGGAACAGAAACTCCAATAGGGGGGGGACCAAAAATGCAAGAGAAAGGTTTTTGAAGCTAAAATTGAAAATATCAGTATACTTAAGGGGACCAAAACGTAATTTACTTGTGAATGTTTAAGCCACATTTATAAAGCACGATTATAGAACAAGGTTCTAGTAGGGCTGTGCAAGAAACCGCCCGCACCGCACCAAACCGCACCGCATAATGCGGTTTAGAATTTTGCAGTGCGGTTTGCGGTTCATCATTTTATCAAACCGCACCATGCGGTGTGGTTTGCGGTTTGTATTTATAAAACTGCGGTTCAAATCGCACCGCACCGCATGTTATATATATATATATATATATATATATATATTTTCTTTATTTTGTTATAACTTCAAATCATGATTTAGAAATGATGTATATAAATATATTTCTTTAAAATAACAAAATATCTATAACGTAACATTAAATCACTATTAGATCAAGATCTCATGGTTTACAAGAATATATCAATTATAACGGCAATATAAAGCAATAACAATGATACTTACAAAACTATAGTAACATGAGTCACAATTTATTAAAAACGATTTAACTCGAAAATTGTATTTGTTTTTATAAAATGAAATCAATCATTTTTTTTAACCCGGTCAGGTTTTTGGTTTTTTAATAGATTTAATGTTAAACAACTCATCAAACCGCACAAACCGCAACTAAACCACATAAACCGCTCGCATCAAACCGCACCACATCATGCGGTTTTGAACATCTGTGGTGCGGTTTGTGGTTTCTAAAATATTCAAACTGTATATGTGGTGTGGTTTGCGGTTTTGACTCCCGCGCACACCCCTAGGTTGTAGTACTACGTTTTGATGTGAGTTTTGCACATTCGCAACATTTTGTGTGGGACAAAAAATTTGTAACAAAATAAATGGGATTTTAGAGTTAAGATATTAATTAGGTGTAAATGATTAACTTGCACAGATACAATGATGAAGTTTGCATCATTTGAAACGATTGTGGAGATGTTTTACAAATACGCGATTCCAAGACCCAAAAATGAATGCAGCAAATCTCTTCAGCTAGGTGTCAGTTTTGCTGGTGGATACGTGGCTGGTGTTCTCTGTGCCATTGTATCTCATCCTGCTGATAATCTCGTCTCCTTCCTTAACAACGCCAAGGGTGCCAGTGTTGGAGATGTAATATATATATATATATATTTTTTTTACCTTTTTATAATACTAATTCACAGTCATTTCGTCACCTTAACATTTACTTTTTAATTTTCCAGGCTGTGAAGAAGCTTGGAGTTTTGGGTCTCTTCACCCGAGGGCTTCCCCTACGTATTGTCATGATTGGAACTCTCACAGGAGCTCAATGGGGACTCTACGATGCTTTCAAAGTCTTTGTTGGACTGTAAGTATATTTCTTTTAGGCTTAATTTAAAAAAAAATAAAATAGAAATAAAATGTTTTAACCGACCACGTGTCATGTGCAGGCCGACCACAGGTGGAGCTGCACCGCCAGCTGCTATTGAGGCTGCAAAAGAATAGGGTCCGTGAAGTTTCTTTGGCTCTTGTGGTTGTTGGGATATATATCGTATCATATTCTATTCTATTATATTATATAATGCTCTACTATTTTCATTATTTTTGGATGATTGAAATAGGTTTTGAAAATTTATGATATATTTTTGGTGTTAGAGAGGATGTTGTACTTGTAGTCCTAATTCATCAAACTCAAAAGTTTTGGGTAGGATTGTCAATTGTGTAACATCGGAAAAAAAAAAAATAATAATGGGCCAATGGGATCATTGTGCATGGCCATGACATTGTAAGACAATTTGTGACAGCACGAAATTGGTGCTGCTTTTCATCTTTTATCGTTTTCTGTTATATGATTTGTTTTTTTATTTTATTTTTAGTTGTTATTTTGGTTTTAAGATTAAAAAAGAAGCATACATGATTAAAGGTTACTTTTTTTATTTTTTTTATTTTTTAAATCATCTTTTTAAGTAACTTGGTATCATTAATAAATATTTTTTTATATTTGGATGGTGCAAAAATAGAAGTTTCGATTTCCTTAAATAAGAAGTTTTTCCTAAGTCGGTCTTTCAAAATAAAAAAAGGAAACTTCCTAAGTTATTTAAATTATCATTCTAACATTGTCATAACCTTGTATTTTTATATACATATATCTAAGATTTTTTTTTTTGGTCATTTTAAATGAATAAATAGATTTGCTATACAATAAAAACAACTTATCTAAGTTATTATATTTTGGTATCAAATATGTTAGATCCAAATGATTTATTTATTTATTTATTTTTTAAATTTGGGTTTGACACTAATTTTCAAATAAGAATAAGTTGTTTTAAATAAACATTCTCAAAAACCCCTTAAACATATGTAGTTCGCTTTTGTTTTTTTATTTCTCCAAGCGCTGCATGATATTTTTTTGTTGTAAAATTCAAAATTCTCTAGGATATATACATATTATTAATCAAATATATTTTATATATATAATTTAATAAAATAAAAGGCAAAATACAGTATACACAATCTTTTATACAACTATATTAAAAAAAAAACTATTTATTATTTTGTTGTTCGTTAAAAGACACATTAGTTATTTATCAAGTTTATCATATTTTCTCGATAAAACCTTGTTAATTGGTTTCATTTAAATGATGCAACAATTGTTACTAATGACATTATTGATACACGCCGTCCCATAATATCTTACAACGTATTAAAATATAAAACTCTATAGAAATATGATGGATACAATATAAAAGATAAAGGGATGACATGGACTGGCCATGGCTTCGGTCACATCACATTTAATTGACACCTCATTTAAACGGAACATTATAACAGACTTTTATTGGAAATTTAGATACAATCGATAGGTAAAATATAATGTATCTTTAAATTAATGAATTTTAGAGAAAATGATCGTGAAAATGAGGGTTTTGGAAAATGATCATAGGTTCCGCATAAGGGGTTCTGCGGAACCATGAACACCTACGTGGATCTTAGTAGTTTTTATTAATTTTATTTTTTTGTTCCATTTTTTTTGTTTATTAATGTTATTTTTTAATCACATAAGGTATTATGTGATTATTATGTAAAAAATTTTGTTTTCGTTTTTCATTTTTCTTATTTAATTACCCGTTAAAAAAATTGTGTGTTTAATAAAAATTATACAAATATTCCATGTTTTATATAAAATTACACACACCGGTATTATGAATAATAAAGATACTTTAAGTAGGCTATAAAACATACTTTAGAAAACATAAACATTCATAATAAACATACTTTGAAATAAACTTCATTCATTCAAATCGAACCACGGAAACTTTGATCTGTTACAACCTTCATAATAAACATACTTAGAAATAAACTTGTAATGACCCAAATTTTGCAAAGAAAATTTTCATTTTTAATTAGTAAATACGTTTGCATAAACCATGAAATTCCAACATAATTGTTTTCAAATCCACATTCATTACAACTTTATTTAAATTATTAGAGTGTCCCAAAACATATTAGTGGAAAAAGAGAGATAGAGTGCACGCCGCGCCATCACGCCATTGGGCTCAGATGTACCTGAAACAAGTACACAAATGGTAAGCTTGAACGCTTAGTGAGTTCCCCGGAGCACACCCACACACAAACACGTACAACATATCATGTTAGCTAACAACTATACAGAACACATAAGCCATGCAAACAACACATAAGGAAGCCCTGGAAACCCTCCATAGTCTTACTCTGGGTGCCATGGGAACCCCCACATAGTCTTAGCCCAATGCCCCGGGAACCTCCCGGGGTCTTTGACCTAAGATGCCAAGGAAACCCTCCAAGGTCTTACACCTAAGTGCCTTGGGAACCCCCTGAGGTCTTTGACCTAGGATGCCAAGGAAACCCTCCAAGGTCTTACACTTAAGTGCCTCAGGAACCCCCCGAGGTCTTTCATACACAATACACAGAAACAACCAGCACATTACATATCAAATAGTCAAAATAGCGTATACATAACAGTTAATGGGCCGGCCTTGGTGCCTTCAACCCATTGGTATTGTGAGGAGACTCACCACTATCTGCTAAATACAAAAGCTGCTCTCCTAACAGTCCGAATCTCCGGTGCTGAATAATAATATTAATCAATGTTAGGACCTTAGATTAGTTAAAGGAAAAACCCAAACTCCAAACCCATCCATGAGGCCCAATTATCCTTCCCTTGCTAATGTGCCCAAAATCTAAGTCCAAAAATTATTAATGGGCGTCTTGGCCCAATAAGGCCAAACCAATATATCCATGGCCCATAACAGATGAAATAGCCCATAACTCACAGAATGCAACCAATTCAATAACCAAAATAAGGTCCAAAAGCTCAAAGGCCCAAAACAGATTTGGCCCAATCTGTAACGCATACACTCGGCGTACCGTTCTGGTACGCGTAGCATACTGGGGTCTTAAGGACTATGTGCAGCGTACACTGAGTACGCCCAACGTACCTCCAGATCAAACACTTTCTCCATTAAGTGCTTAATACCCGATTCCTTTATGTCCAAAAGTCAGATCTGAGTTGTTTAATACGTCCTAAGGCATAAAGTTGGCAACTTTATGTCTTTGCATGCTTCATAAATACCCGACACCCCCATTAAGACCTTTTCAAGGTCCTTAATCCATGCATGAGGCCAATACTTCTACCAAGACTCCATTTTTGTGTTGAAAAAAGACTAAGGGACCTCAGATCTATCATTTCCATTCTCTGGAGTTGCTTAACTCCCAAGAAAAGGTCCAAAATCAACAAAAGGGACCAAACTAGAAACCCTAACTAGATCTAGTGATTAAGATGGAAAGGTGCAAGCTTTATACCTCCAAAAGCTTTGCAATATGACTATTATGCAGGATCTTAAAGCACCAACTTGTTCCAAGCTTATATAACTACCTCTTCTTCTTGAAAGAACTCTAAAATCGCCACTAAAAACCCTCTCCGGCCTTAAGCTCAAAACTCTCACACACAATATCACATCTGAAGGTAGACGAAAAGAGGCTTAAGAGGATGATAGGGTTTGGTCCAAGAGGCTAAAAGATGATTAAATAGGGGATAAGTCCGAGATTTAGGGTTTTGACCCTCTGATGCATACACCCAGCGTACGTGAGGCTCCTCCGCGATCATTCATGCAGAGTATGCTAAGCGTACTCATAGGTACGCCCAACGTATTCAAGGGACCAATTATGCTAAAACATAAATTCTTGAGGGTTTCAAGACATACCAGGTTTAGGGTGTTACAAAACTTCATTCATTCAAACTGAACAACGAAAACTTTGATGTGCAGAAGTCCAGGTAAGGAGTTTTTGACACATCACTTAGCCATGTAAGAACTATTTTCTGCAGATCTGTGTACACCTCTGTGGATCAGTGTACACATCTGCGGATCAATGTTCACCTCTACATATAAGTTATAGAATTGTTTTCTATGGATCAATGTACACCTCTGCATAACTGTTAGGGAATACGCATAACTGTTTTCTACGGATCAGTGTACACCTCTGCGGATCTGTGTACACCTATGTGGATCAGTGTACACCTCTGCGGATGTCACACCCCCAAACCGAGATGACGGAAACATTCGGGGGTGGAGTACGTCATGTTCAGTATCACAACAAATGTAGAATAGTAAAACAAGCAACAACATCCATTGCATTAACATTATAGTGTTTACATTGTATTCAAATCACATATGATTAACTCCAGAAGTAAGTAGCAAAACAAAGACTCGAAGCTATTATGCTCCGTCTTCTAGAACCCTGTGCGTGTACCTGTTTACTAGTTTCCTGAGAATATAAGTAATTTTTGAAAGTGTATCAACATTTAAGTTGGTGAGTTCATAAATATTTTGTTTTAGAAAGTACATTCTTTGTTCTTTGAAAACCTTAGTATGTTCCTCCATAAAATCCAATATTTTCTGATGTAAATCTAATGTAAGAAAATGTGACCCATATCAGTTCCTTCTACAATCACCTAGTGTATACAAGTTATATACAATACAGATTGAACAGACAATCGATTGTGTGGTTCTGCCCTAAGCCCACAACCAAACAAGGAATAGGAAATAAGGCGGAAACCACATATTCAACTGTTTGTCGGAACTACATTGTAGGTAACCCTGGCGTATACACTAGGTAATTATAGAGTTAATAGTGTTGGTCCTTTTTGAGTGACATCTATATTGTACTTAGAAATTAATGTAATGTTGTTGTATATGTATGCAACCCTTTGTGTATGTATGTACTTAGTTACACGTTCTTTCCGAAAATTATGCTTTGTACTAGAAAATAGTGTGCTGTACTTGTATGTTATGACTTCACCCATACGTTTTTCCCCCTATGATTACTTAGTGTATGTGGGTTATACATATAAAACCAAGATCGAATAGATAGTAGAGTATGTGAATCTGCTCTAAGCCCACAACCAAACAAGGAACATGAAATGAAGCAGAAAGCACACATTCTACTGCCTATCGAATCCTATTCATATATAACCCTGATGTATAAACCAAGGAATCATAGAGTTAGCACTATAGGTCTCTTCTAAAATGTATGTTCATGTTACTAGGAAAGTAGTGTAGTGTAGTTCTATTGTTTAGTAAAACCACTTGAAGTTATGAAATCCCGTAATCTAAATGTCTTAGTTGATACTATTGTGAGTTTCATATAACCATGCTTAATTGACTAGTATAAAACATGACGTTCTTCAAGCGTCGAAAAAGTTAAGACATTTGTCACTCGTAGACCTGCCGATCCCAACTGCAACTAACAACCAAGGTGCGAGATTGTCAGTTCCATATAGATCTATACATAAATTCACACTCTCCCTCCA